AGACATAACAGGTTACCGCTACTGCGTATTCCAAAAACATTGTGCGTCTTTCGGTAATAATTTATCTCAAAACCCAGCATTTTAAATTCTCAGAAACGATCATTGCGGGAAAATTGTGGGCCGGGACTAAGATTTTTGAACGATCGATGCGATAAAACGATAGTTCGAGGAACGATAGAAGCGGGAAAATGTAACATTATTTTATATGGGATGTATTCGGGACCGAACAAAACGGACGATGCATCCGGGAAAACGATAGTTCCGGGAACGATGGATAGAGGTTTCACTGTATTTGGGCAAATGCCTCCTAGTATGATCTAACTAATCTTCTTGACTTTTGTCCATCCAAAAGGATTAAGAAATCCATTTTAAATATGCAGTTCTCAGTAAGTTTCTGTTATGCTAGAAGACAGAATGATGGTCCTACACTAAATCCACAGCAGGACCTGATATTCTTAACCTAACTTAAGTAATTTAAGTCTTCCAAACCTAGATTACTTCATCTGAGTGAAAACATCCAGTTCCCATCAACCTAGATATTCAAAAATGATGAAAACTTTCATGTCCCTTGAATCTAGATTGTTTTACTTCAGTGAAAAATTAAGCTCCCTGAACATTTACTCTTTCAGACAAGTAAATCATTTGCTTTGAAAGTTCTGAAGTCACTGAACAAACCTCCATGGAGTACAAGAATCCGATTGCTGCCATCATGCTTCACCATTTCAATACTATTCAGCTTCGAATCAACCCAGTACAATACATGATCCATGGCATAATCAACAGCCAAGCCTGCTGGGTGTCGAATGCCAGTCGTGACAATGGACTTGCGTTTACTACCATCCATCCAAGATGACTCAATCTTTGGTGCAGCACCTGCATCAGCCCAATACATGCGACCCAGCTGTGGATCCACAACCACAGACGTCGGTAATTCAAGGCCGTTATTGATGACTGCACGCCGGTATCGCCCATCAGTTTTGGCAACCATAACACGTCCACGTGGCTTTGAACCTGAGCGATCAGTCTCAGTCCAGTATAGGTTACTTGAAACCCAGTCTACAGCCAGGCTAGCTGGTTTTGAGTTACCTATACAACAAAATGTTTCTTTAATAATTACTATACTTATTTTGAATAAGACATAAATGAAGATTTTGATAACAGGCCTAAAGAATTCTGAATTTATAGATACAGACTGAAATGGAATACACTATATCTGAGCATTCATTTGAAACTTTGTATTAGATGCAAGAAACACTGTAATGTCATGGAAGATACTGTTATGTGCATACCTTTCATGTTAAGATCTTGTGCAAAGCCAACTTTCACATCTCCTTTCTGAGCATTGACCATGTAAGAACGTTTAATGGTTTTATCGTAAGAGTCAGCCCAGAAGATGATTTCTGTGTTGGGATCATAATCAATGGCTTCTATTCTTTTCTCATTTTGTATTACATCAATCTGGCGGCGATCCAGTATGCTGTATGAACGAATCTCTGGACCATTAGCAAAAAGAAGTGTTACTTCAGGGTTGTCTGCCTTACACACGCCACTCATTCCATCTGAGAGTGTGAATCCTTTGCGACAGGAGCATTCATATGTTGAATTCAAATTGGTACACAGTTGAGAACACTGGTGAACTCCAGTTGCACATTCATCAACATCTGTACAATACGAGAAACAAATTATTTGTTATCATACTTGCATTGGTAAGACTTAGTATTTCAATTGCAAATATAAAACTGAAAGCATCACTAAAACAAAATCCATGGAAATGTGTAGCAATAATATTCAAACACAAAAAATCATGCTTGGTAATAAGATTATTGAGCAAGTTCAAAATTTTAGTATTTAGGATGAAGTTCCTACAGAGCACGTAAATGATATGGAAATAAAAATAAAATAAATAAATTAACAGAAATGTTGGCAAACAAATATCACCAGAAATGGAAATAAGAATATTACCATCACAGCATAAGCAACTTTGAAAAATGGTAGTGATGCCTGCATATATAATAAAATAGATGCCAAACAACTTGAAACAGCACATGCTATTCCAAGCAATTACCGTTAACAAAGCAAGTGTTACAGAACTAGATTACAAACAAAATACAGATGTAAAAGAAGAATTACATATCACAAGTAACCACAGACTAGCACAGAAATTGTTGACAGTGGTCTCATCTCAAACAGAAGAACTGGTAAGTGCAAGTGATCAGGAAAATGCTAGTGACTGTCCACCTGACAATTCCAATAAAACCAGTGTTTTGCATGGATGGATAATTTAGTATAAGCAGGAAATCTTTTGCTGAAAATGGTAAAGACCTTCAAGTTGACAATTCTGTATATGTTGTACACACACATATATATATTAAAATTTGTCTATTCCATACCTAGGCACTTCTTTCTGTTGTCTGGAGAGATAATGAAGCCAGAGTAGCAGGCACAGATGTAACCTCCATCAGTAAGATTCATACAGTGATGCTCACAGCCTCCCCTATTTGCTTCTGTACAAGTTTTTGTGTGATCTGCAACAAAAATTGCAACATATATCTGTGCAGTTCTTACTCTTCAACTGATATGTCTTTAACACACCTTGTTAAAATAACTGAAGAATTTATCACAAACTTTAATTAAAGGTCTTTTAAAGTTAACATTTGAGTTGACGGTAGAGATTTAGGCACTTACGGCAGCCAAGTTCATCAGAGGAATCACCACAGTCATCAGCAAAGTCACACACTCTACCACGGTCTATGCATTTTTTGTTTGCACACTGGTACTCAGCATAAAGGTTGCAGGGTTTGAAGCGACTAGCACATAAGGTCATGTTGTTTTCGTCACTTCCATCACCACAGTTATCAATTCCATCACAAAGCTGATAGCGAGGTATACAGCGATGATTTTCACACTGGAATCTCTTGAGTGCATCACAACTAAAGTTCACTGAAAAACAAACAAGCAATATGGAGAAAACAAATAATACAGGAAAGAGAACATGGGCCCCCAGGGAGCTGACAAGACATTAAGTACAACAAAACTACCTAAGAAATGTCTCTGAGATAAAGTTTTCCACGTAAAGATCAAAATTCTGGGTCCTGTCAAATTCTTTAATCTGATGAGGCTAGCAAGTACTATAAACAACTATAACATTTAGTGCTCAGATCCCAGCTACATTAAACTTACCAGATATAACTTCATTTAAATAAACAGTTCACACAGAATTTGTAAGTATGTTTATGTTATAACTTCATACAAAATTTCACACACTTAGTTCCAATAGTTCTTTCGTTACTGCCACTATGTTGCTGACTTACATTCCAAAACAAATAAATTAAAAACTGCACATTTTTCAACCTCACACCATGAGCATTGTAACGACTGTAAGAAATTAAAGTATTATGGTGTGGTAACCTCTAGTGGTATGACACTCATAACAACTTTCATGAAAATTCATCAACTGGTTCTTATTAAGAAGGGCAGTCACACTGATGCAAGGACACGATTATACCATGAGTCTGACTTTCTGTCTGAAACGATTCTTTTCTTCAGCTGGCAAACTGAGCTTGACAGCCATGTAAAACAGAAATTATAGTTTCATACATTTCAATCGTTAGGTTTTGAAAAGAGATGGGAAGATAAAATAATGTAAACTGAATGGCAGAAAGCATTCTCCAAATTTAATCAATTTTTAATTTTCGTCATGAATGTAATTTTGTAAGACTTGAGGTTCTCACAGCGGTGAATATGAAGATTTCTGTCTTCTGGGTTGTTGCGCTGTGTAGTCTGGTCGATGTTAACCAACGTTTCAGAGGTCATACTGCCTCCGTCATCAGGGCGATGACGGAGGCAGTATGACCTCTGAAACGTTGGTTAACATCGACCAGACTACACAGCGCAACAACCCAGAAGACAGAAATCTTCAATGTAATTTTGATTTGACACCGTCAACCAAGAATTTTCAAATTTGTCAGAAATATTTTGAAGCTACAATCAATTATGTTTTCAAATTATTTACATTATATTAATTTTAAAAATGTATTTAGGGCTTTTAACTAAACTGACATGTGTTCATTTATATACTCCAAACATGGTACAGGACATTAAATTGGATATATCTGTAACTGTACTGGCATTGACAAAAATATTTCCTGATATAGCATGATTGGACACTGATGGTAGTGTGTTTATGCCCAAAACACATCTGTAAAAGAAAGCAGCTTTGTCAAAGTGTACATGGAAAATGAACATTAAGCTAAAATCCAACAATACATCATAGAACTGTATACAATAAACTTACTACAGAGACTTGGGCTCTCATCAGAGTTGTCACCACAGTCATCTGTCCCATCACAGAGATCTCCCTGGTTTACACACAAATGATTGCCACATTCAAATCTGCTCTCAGGACAGTAGCGGCCACCAGGAAACCGTGGAGGACAATGCATTTCATCACTCATATCTCTGCAATCTCTGTCTCCATCACAGCGAAAGTATGAGGCAATACAGTGTCCACTTGCACATTGGAATGTTCCATTCTGGAATACATATCAAAAGTAATGTCTAGTAAAACATTAATGCAGACATTCCTGTGATAATGGTATGTCTGCTGGAATAAGAGACTAGTTTTATTATAATTTTAATTTTATATAATTTTATTCATTTTTATATATGTGAATATAACTTAGCTACTTCTTCAATGGCAACACATCCATCTCAAACCACAAATTTGTTCTGAATGACATGTGATCTGGGGATGACACATTGCCATTAAAACATGTAGCCAAGTGAAATTATATTCACATATTTAAAAGCGAATAAAATTCTTGTTCAGGCTAAAAACCCAGTTTACTTAACATGCCCAATAATAACATCCCACAGAAAATTTTAATAAGTCAGTGTTTCTAATGTTCTCTACATTGTGACATACTTAAATGTTGTTCAATAATTTATTGTACATCAAATCACCTACTTTTGTGAAAGTTGTGTGTGTGCGCGCGTGCACAAATATGCATGTGAAAACATGCACACACAAGTAATGCATGCTCACATCAGTCTTCACAGTATTATTACACTTTTCAGCTACAGTATATATTTTTGTAATGTGTGTTGTAGGTTGTGTAAAAATTTAAGAGATTAACAACATTTTAGGAATGAGTAATATATGACATGAGTAACAGACAAATATAATGTTGATATACACATGGCAGTTCTGAAATAGTGCAATCTGTAACAAATCCAATGTATATACAAATTTTAAAGCAGCAATACAACTTAAGAAATACTGGTAATTTATTCCACATAATTCA